GCGAGGCTGCGGCTGACTACGAAGCGAGGAGCGTATCGTATGCAATTTTAACCTACATTCAACTTAATACATTTATTAGTTTTTTTATTTATTTCATCGCAATGTCTACAGAAACCGAATCTAGAGAACTTAAGGTTCTCAATATTAAACGTAGCAATATAAAAGGACGTTTAACTAAATTTAAGAATTTTATCGATAATTTAAAAACTTCAGAATCTTTTTCAGACGTAGAATTAACTGAGCTTGCGATGAAATTATCTAGAATTGAAGCTTTGTTTATCGAGTTCGAAGAGTTGCAAAACCAAATAGAATTTTTAAACATTTCAAATCAAGAAATAGAATTGACTACTCGCGATATTTTTGAGCAAGACTTTGATCACTACATTTCTCTTGCTCAAAATATGATTAAAACGTATTCAACTTCCAAGTCCACTAATTGTGATATTCATTCAAATTCTTCAAACCATTCTAATAATTCCTGCCGACATAATGATAATTATGAAACGCTTGGGTTTAAATTGCCTATAATAAAAATACCCAGTTTCGATGGAACATATTTCAAGTGGTTGGAATTTAAAGAAACATTTAGTTCTTTAGTTCATGAAAATTCTAAAATTAAAAATATTCATAAATTTCATTATCTTAATTCTTACTTGGAAGGTGAAGCCGCCCGTGTCATTAGTAATTTAGAAGTTTCAGATCAAAATTATTCACAAGCCTGGCAACTCTTATGTGAACGCTTTGATAACAAAAGACAATTGATCAACAATCATTTAAAATCACTTTTTAATTTTGAATACGTCCGCGAGACTGACAAGTCACTCCGTTTCATCACTGATCACATTACTAAAAACTTGCGCGCCCTCAGTACACTGGGCCTGCCTACTGACAAGTGGGACGTTTTAATAATTTATATAGTTACAGAAAAGTTAGACAGCGCCACATCCTTTAAATGGGAGGAACATAGAAATAGTTTGTCCGATATTCCTACACTTAGTGACTTCTTCACATTCCTAAGAAAACGTGCTGATATTTTAGAGATTGTCCATCGCAATAAACAAGAAAAACAAAA